CTCAAAAATAATGGCAGTTCACTGAAACCACACTACTTTTCGATAGTCAGTAATTTCAGCGGAATGTTGAGTCGAAATATTTGGAATGTAAGTATAGTATTTCTGCTCACATTTATCTGTCACTTTCAGTGAATTCTTTCGATTTCGGAATGAAAAATCAGCAGATTCAGTACTGTCAGTTGAATTCGGAATATAGCCAGAGAATGAACATGCAAATGATTTTTCACTGTTACCAACTAGAGTGTGCTATCTTTTATCAGTATAACCATACAGAGAAGTGCACAAAAACGACAAGTGCTGTATCTTCTGACTCATTCGAGATCGAATTTTGTAAATTGGTGGGTGGCAAGTATACCAAATTGCTCATTAATTGACAACACAATTTTTGTTCTATCTCTTTCGGTTTCACCGGATATGACTTTAACTTCTGATTTTCAAACGGGACACCCTGTATTTCATTCTTCAATCGGCTAGGAATCATCATAACGACTTCAACAATTCAGGGTTTAATAGGGATATTTCAAAAGATTACGAAGATTTTCGCGTTCTAAGTTTCCATTTCCTCAATGAGTGTGTAAGAGAAAGAAATTTCGATATTACAAAGTCATACCCATTGAGCATATGAAAATTACGAACCCAAATATCTTCGTGATCATTTGAAATAACCCTTTATCAAACCCGGTATCGTTGAATTCGCCCTAACCGATTATGGAATGAAATACAGGTTCTCCCTTTTAATGATCAAAAAAGATCGTTTCCGGTGAAACCGCAAGTTATTGAACAAAATTTGTTTTTTTCTGTGACGGGAAACAAGTTTGACATTCCATCTCTGTTGACAGGTTATGAAATGTCACTGTTCATAAATTACTTTTTTCCGTGGGAAAAGAGTGAGTACTTTTTCCCCGGATATATATCACATATTATACAGTGTGTCCACCTTAAGGACTTACCACCCCTGTAAAATCGTTATTATCCGACCAATTTCAAAAAACCTTTTTTTGTTGGATAAGTATTTGAAATGCCCATCCAACGAGAGAGTGATCTAATTCTTGGACTGTTATCGTGGCCACCTGCGACAAATTTCAATGACCCATATTTCAGAAAGTACTATTAGGGATTGTTTTCCACGAAACTTGATGATGGATTCTGAATCAGTACCACTTGAAATATACCTGTACCGATTTTCATCATCATAAAATACAGGGTGTCCGACAAAAACGAATCATCATTTTCTTCAAATAGGTGATCAGCAAATGTAGTTCTGTGGTTTTTCTAGAAAGAAATAATCACAAATTATCATTGAGGATTATTCCAAATATACCTGTACCAATTTTCGTCATTTGAATATACAATGTGTCTGAGAAAAAAATTAAAAAGGATAGGTAAGCAATATTTTTTATCCTGATAATTCTTCACTCAAAATAATAGTTGTTTATTATACAAGGGAAAAAAGTAGTAGATTTTAGCTTCAGGTTGTGTTGTCTCCCGACGCGTAGCGGAGGGACACAAAAAACCGTGAGCTAAAATCTAATATTTTTCCCGTGTATAATACACTATTTTTTTCTGTGACAGAAGGAAGGACGAATCAATATTGAGAAGATATTACATTATTTTGAAATCTGAAAATTATCGACGTGAAATTTTAAGTTTTTAACAGTAGGGACACCTGCATTGTAGGCATCTTTATCATTCTTTTGAAGTACCTAATCAAATATCTGATGTCACTTCTGTCAGTCTAATTCTGTGATTTGATTTCAAAAAATTGCGAATTTAGTGGTTGTTTAGTAATATACGTAACCGCGAAGTCGAATGGAAGATAAAAGGACTTGCAGCAGTTTTTTCTCGGAGACGGTATTATTGACTCATTTTTCGGAACTATAGCACAACAAAAGCCATCAACAGTGTATATATAATATGTGATATAGATAGATATATCCGAGAAAAAAGTACTGACTTTTTTTCCACGGGAAAAAAGTAATTTATGAAAAGTGACATTTTATAACCTGCCAACAGAGATGAAATGCCAAACTTTTTTCCCGTCACAGAAAAAACACTATTGTTATAGCATATAACAGTGAGAGCGGAAGAAAATATTCAGTGCTGCCCGTTATTAGGCCATCAATTACTGAACTTCCTCGACTTCCTCAAAAGGAATTTTGATACTACTTGTATAATGTCACGTAGACACAAAGAAAGCTTACGAAAGGAATGATAAGTTCAGGTGTACAGGGTGACCAGAATTCGAGCTTCATCATTGTGATCTCATGAACCGTAAGACATACAGGGTCGGTTAAATAATGGGAAAGTTGGACAATTTTATGCCTAACAATATGCAGTTTTGAAACTTTGAGAATTCCGAATACCTTCGGATATATACGAAAACAACCGAAATTTCCTAAAACATTTTTTATGTTATTTCAAGTTTTTTGTAAAAAATAATCGAGTGAATAACAATAAATCATGGTCACTTCTTTTCCCTTCAAGTTGGCGATATCATATTTGAAATCCGACGTTTTGTCATCCAGAAACCATCATCAACTCATCTTTTTCCCAAGTACCTGGGTGCTTTTCACACTTTTGGATATCCTAACAGCTATAGTTACCACAAATTTTCATTTTCGAATGTTTCTTTTGAAATAATTTACATTTTCTGTACTCTTTTTAATATCCTATATCAATTTTTGTAAATCAACATTCAAAAATAAATATTTGTGATATCTCATAGCTTTTGGGATATTCAAAGGTGTGGAAAAATGGAATAAAATATCAGGGTCCGTATTTAAAAAAAAATGATCATGGTTTCTGAAACACGAATAGTCGGATTCTTAATTTGAAAACGCCAACTTGTATTGATTACTTTGCCATAATCTAACCGACCCTGTATGTCTCACGGTTACGAGATCCTAATGATGTGGCTCGAATTCCAGCCACCCTGTATGTGTATTATTATGCAGATCATCCGACCACAAATCAACTAGTCCAGATACGAAAGCTTTCATGCCGCCTTTGATGTTCGATGACTCAAAATGCTTTACCTTGTATACCACTAACGTATACCTACACGGAGAAAAATGTCTTTCTTTCACTTCGATTTCACTCATCTCCCTTCAACATACACTGAAAAAACATGTTTGCACTATTCTCAGAAATGGTAAGAATATTCCTGTGGCATATTCATAATGAGAAAAATGGGCATGTATCAACCACTCTCACTACACATATCAGTATCTAATTGAGTTCAATAATGAAACTGAGGAAAATAAGAATATTTCTGATCATTTATATTTTACCAATCGAAGTGTAGTGATCGCACCAGAGTTGAACCCATCTTATTGCCACTATAACATCACCGTATACACGGAGAATAATGTTCGTTGATTTCACATTATCCATCGACCTTCACTGAAAATACACGCCCTTCACTGAAAATACATTCGCAGAAATAGTAATAGTATATATTCCATGACATATTGATGAAGAAAAGGAACTCCATACTGCGTTCTCTCCAAGAATATCTATTTCTTCCCAGGAATAGAACTTACGACGGAGGTAGGTCAACGCTGTATATGACGATCTTGCTCAAGACTGTATTTTCTCTAGAAAGGCAGAACTCAGTATTCCTTATAAAACAATGTCTGGTACCATCATTCCCACCAAGACCACTATATCGATGCTCGGTATTTCCATCAGCAATATTTTTTCATGGAAAAATCATGTCAGATCCATCGTGGAGGCTGCTTCAGCGACCCATAGATACGGTCAATCTTAGAATACTGTTCTCATATATGGGGCTCAGCACCCAATCATACGCTGATACTCTCGGATTCCATCAAGAGAAGAGCCATCCGCCTGGTGGGTGATGCCATGCTAACTAATACTTTGACTTCCACGGAAAAAATTTCTCTCTGCTATCTCCATGCACCACTAGCACACTAGCAATACCACTCAGACGAACTCGACAGGCCCAGTCAGCACATCCTTTCGTTGTCAACCTTGAAATATGCCGAACAGCACTTCACCAAAACTCGTTCATCTATAGAACGAATAACCTTTGGAATTCTTTGCCAATGGAAGTGGTATAACCTCCGAGAGTTAAAAAAAATCTAAAACGCACCTATAGGTAATGTACACACGAGGTTTTTCGAACATAATAGGAATTTCATCTCGTGCGCTCCAATTCATGGAAAACAACTTGGCTACACACATTATGAGTAACTGGTGGAGTTCAATGATAGAATTGAAAGAAATAATTATATATATTTCTGATAATTCACATTTTGGCCAAGTGAAGGGGAGTGGTTGAAGCCCATTAATTCCTCCTTACCTCCTTGTAAGCATGGCGACGCCGCACATGTGCATACGATTTTTTTAAAGTGGAAAGCTTAGCTCTCAAATCTGTGTAATCAAGTGATCTGTGCCTAAAGACGGTTAAATACAGATTACATTTTGTTAAGCATCCATTGTCGCTGCGACATGTCGTGTTGAAGTGAACTTGATGAGTGACGGACCTTGGTTTAATTGTCATTGAACGTACTGGACTAATGAGTCACTCTAGACTAATGGAGGCAAATTTGAAGTTAACAAACATGACATGACGTCCAAGACATGACATGACTGTGTCAAAGGAAAAATCAAGAAAGTTTATTATGATACATTAGTGAAGATAAACATTATGTCTCTAGAAATGATCACCCTTTGTTTTCTATTGAAAAGATAATTAGCGAACCATTTGAAAGGCGTGCCTCTTATGCCATGACGCCCAAGTTTGAGGAGCAGTATTTCAAAACTCACACTATCGAAAGCCTTCTCAAAGTCACAGGCTAACCCGATTTGGTTGATCCTCGTGTCTAATTTATTATGAATTACTTGAGTAATATCATACATTGCTGAAGAAGTTGATTTTTTGTTCAGAAATCCATGTTGATTGGGAGGCGTCCAAGAATGTTCAATGACTCAACAGGCTCATCTCAATTTGTGCCTCTTGGTGACAAAATATTGCCTAGTTATGTCCATTGGTGATTGGTGACAATCGGAGTGTGGATTTGTGCTGACAGTGGATTATTATCAATTGTTCTCTTTCTCTCAGGCGGCTGCTGCGGCTCCACGAAACGCGTCTCGATCGTGGGCGGCTGGTCGTGGGCGTGGTGGTTCGTGGCGGACGTGCAGCAGCTGTCCTAGGAGGAGATAACCTTGAATCCACAGTGCGAACACGTGGAGACGTCGCAGGGAATGCCCTTGACTGTGACACGACACGAGTGCCGGCCGTGGGCCCACCATGTACTCACGGCGTCGGGGTGGGGGTAGCCTCAGGTGATTCCAGACACAACTGGTTAAAAGCTTGAGGTCCCCACTCTTGTCATGCTAGCGGTACGTGTAAAAGGCCGCGAACGGACACCCATCAAACGGAACTGGAGGATTCTGGTCGACATGGGTAGCTGGGCTTGCTCAGCGAAAACTGGAACTTTGGTGTACCTTGTGCCTTAGTTCGTCAGGGAGGGGGTAGCCCCAAGCGATCCTATCGCCAGTCATCATAGGTAAAGCCGGGTCCTCTCCTGTAAACGAGGTAGAGGAACGTGTAAAAGTCCTCGAACGATCACTCATTCAACGGGATGAGAGGATTCTTGTCAACATGAGTAGCAATCAGGCGAAAGCCTCTTGCGACGGCGACCCATCAAACGTAACAAGAGGAATCTTGTTGACATGGGTAAATGGGGTGATGAGGATAGCCCCATCAGGCCGTACATACGGCCTGGTGCCTCACCAATTGGGTTGGACTCCAGGGGGCAGCGGTTTCCAAAAAAACACCACCGGACTACGGTAGAGGAGGTGAAGAAGAATCCCACTATGGGTCAAGTGGGAGGATATCTTGCCTGCCTCGGCGGGTGAGCAGCGTTTCTGCTCGGGCACTGACACTGCAGAGCCAGTAGTCTGTCTTATCAGACGGCCTCACCATTGGTATTATAAAATGGTAGCAGGAGAACATGCCGTTACATAACGGATATGGCCCTAGCGCGCTGATTTGGCGTATCCAAATCCTCCATTTCTCCCTGGGGTGCTGTCGGTATAAGTCGAGAGACAGGTAACCGGCAGTCATCCCTAGGGGAGTCTTGTGAGAGGGGAGTGGGAATTGGTCCCACCCGTTGCCACCCCGGCAACATTATTGATATTGATATTGATTTTGATGTGACACGAGTGCGCAGTGCAAGATCATGGTCATAGCCTCCGAACAGTTTGAAAAAAAAAATACAAGTTTTCATGATCAACAAGACTTTATTCCAACAAAATGACAAACAAATTGCATTTCTTGTCGAATAAAAATAAACCAAAACTCAAGCAATATTTACGAATTGCGAATTCTTTAATGATTGGGCGGGAAATAATCGATGTGTTCAGGTAATCGAAACACGCAGGAATAGTACTTCAGTAAAGGTCATTGAGTCCTCGTATTTACCAATCGTTAATGGAGGTGAAACAGAATATTATTTCGGCATATCTGATTTCAAGACATATACTGCTTGACTGTTCTGTGACGTTTTCTGGAAAATTTTCTCAAAGTTTAATGTTCTTTTAATGCGAATTATATCATAGCATTGCAATGGAATTCCTGAAGTTCATTGCGAGTGGGTACTTTAAAATGAGCAAATCTTCGGAAATGATCTGAAATGTATGAAATCATAAATTTTCAAGCAATAATCTTTATAGGGGTGTTGTCGTCTATGCGTGCCTTGTTGTCGAACCACCGTTTTCAGAACCATCCTGCTTCTACTTCACAATAGTATATCCATATAGTGACTATTGAACCAGGGACATTAAAACTCTTGCATCTAAGTCATATTTCATACTATATCATCTATCTGGTATATAATTATTGAATTTGCAATAGTGATCACATAAACCATTCACGGAATGATCATATTCCAAACAGCGCCCACATTATTATTATTAACGCAGCAGTAGTATTACCGAATACGAAGGAATTACAACAAATAAAGAGTCCAAACTTGAAAGTCTCAATTCTCAATCACCTGATTGGTATTCGGGTCATCTTCATCATCCGAGCATTTCAGCTCTATATCCAAGGCATGACTGGCAGAGGACATAGCTGTGGAGCCCTGCCTTTCTGCACGAACAGCTTTCACGGCACCCTTTCTTTCGCAGAAGAGCAAGAGGTGTGGGATCCATGGTGGTGGAGATGGGGCTGAGTCCCTGAGAAGACATTTTCCACCCCAAATCTGTAGGACTCAAGTTTACTACCCGCCACTTCTACACTTGGAGGTAGCACCTTGCTGCATGGTGGCCTGCGACATCTTCCGTTGCTCGTTGAAGTAACAAACGTCTTATACCTCAGGAAATCCAAAGTATCCTTCGCGATATCACCCTCATATAGAGCCACAAAACATTTGATGCTTGCTTCTCTCACGACTTGTGGGCTGGAGTCTGGCCGAAGAAAGACTTCCACGTGCTCAACAAGTGGTTCACTCTTGCCCAGGAGTGTAGTGAATTTGGTCTTCCCTTGGCCAAACGGCGCTGAGGTAGTATTGCACCCGGTGAATGCGTGGGTGAATAGTACCGTCCCTGGTGATCGATGGGAGTCCTAGTGGTTGTAGGAGTTCGTATAGAGAAATGACAGCAACCAGCTTCGCTCTTCGTGCTCTTCTGAAAGTAGACTGGCCTACAGATACCAGTCTAGTCTCAAATGAAAGCTAATTAAATTTACTACAACTTCACTCCATATAATATTTGACGTGGGAAGCGTATTTCAGAAGATAATTCACAGACTAGGTGACCATTTTGAAAAAATTCTACTTTTTCGAAAAAATTGCCCATTTACGAAGAACTGTATCTTGGGAACCAATAGCTGTATGGAGATCGCCTTGGCCTCGAATTGTAGCAAATTTAGTTATCTTTTTAGTTTATGGGGTGACTATAGCGGTCAAACCCTTTCTTCTCTGAGATATTGAGCAAAAACTGAAAAATGACCAAAAATTTCAATGTTTTTTGGGTATACCGCCGCTTACACAGCAGTTTGGAAATTGCAAATCTGTTTTTTTAATATTGGTTTGGGTCCTAACAACATATAAAAAATTCAGAACGACCGGACCCTTTGCCAGCACTACCCCCTTTTCATGTTTAACTTCACTGAACTACCATTGGTGACTGGTGATATTATGAGTTGTTCTCTTTTTCGCAGGCGGCTGCTGCGGCTCCACGAAACGCGTCTCAATTGTTGGCGGCTGGTCATGGGCTTGGTGGTTCGTGACGGACGTGCAGCGGCTGTCCTTGGAGGTGATGACCTTGAATCCGCAGTGCGAGCGCGTGGAGACGTCGCAGGGAGTGCCCTTGACCGTGACGGGCGTGGCGCAGTGCAAGATCATGAAGGCGGACGAGCTGTTAGCCACCGCCTCCGAGCAGTTCTTGGGCAAGACGGTGAAGGAGATCAAGTCGACGGTGCTGCAGACGCTCGAAGGGCATCTGAGGGCCATCCTGGGTGAGTGGGGATGATTGTTGTTAGTTATTAGAGAGTACAGAGCCCACCTAGCAGAGTAGAACTCATGAAGATATGAATAATTCACAGTGGCAAGTAAATCTCTCTTCCATGGTAGCCTGAAAATTTATAATAATGTACCCGTCAGTATTAGAAACACGCATATATCTGAGCACAATGTTCAAAACAGCTGAAACAGTTTCACTTGCTTGAAATATATGCTGTTCCGGATGAAAAATTCTCCTTGGCGCGCTTTGTCCCTTTTGCTCTTATGCTGTATCAGATGAGTCTGTGAATTGTGTCTATGATGTTATTATGCTTTTCCACATTGATTTATGTATTATGTTTTTGTATGGTAATTCCTACCTATATATAGGTACTTATATTTCTACTTTTATCATTATTGTGAATAAAGATAGCCCTAGTTCCTACTATATAAGATTCACTGTAATCTTCTTGGAATGAATAAAGGCATATACAGGGTGTTTAATAAAAACCTGACCTTCTTGCTAGGGTAGGTAGAAGACTGCAAAAAGAGTTGGATTAGCTCAGTGGAAAAATGTCGTAACGGCATCCGTTTTCAAGATACAAGGTGTTGAGAAAATGATTGTTTTACACATTTTTTACGAATATGTCGAAACTACTGGCAACATTGTAATGAAATTTTGAATGGATGTTTCTTGGAATCTGACACATGGCATGAATTCGTTTTTTTTATCTGACTCTCATAGATGGCGCTAGTTACACGGTTCGTACCTAGTAGATTTAAACATAACTTTTTTGAGGTTAGATTTTTCAATCCAAATTCGATGTGAACTTGAACATCATTCAATTTCACACCAAAAAGGTACTCTTGGTGATACTCGATACTGTGTTTCGTTGTCGAAATATTCCGATTCGAAAATGATGAAGTGCTAACTGTTGCTAGTATGAAGCTCTGTATTAGAGTGAGTATATAATGAAAAATTATCACCTATTTATTGCAAACCGAAAAAATCAATACATTTCTGATGCTCTACTTATTGTTTCACCAATGATTCACAAGAATAACATTGAAACAAATTTTACTAAAAACATGGATTACACAGTTTCGTTGTATCAAGCAAAAAGTATATGCTACAGAGGTAAATTCACGTCTGGAGTTGCAAGTCAGAATTGAACATCACTCAGATGACCTTACAGCTGATCCTCAACCGTTCAGAAAAATAATGCTTTCATATAAAAAAATATCGAATCGTGTATTCGTGGAAACGGAGGACATCTTGAACACTTACTCTAACTGATTCAATATTTTATGTTTCTAGTCAAATATTTCTCAATTTTCTAGTTGTGTTCTTTGTTCAATCAATATCCACAGCACAAGAATGATGTTATTGTTTTTGAATCTGAATAAACAAGTAATTGATCTCAATAAAATTCATTTTATACGAGCATCAGCTATTACTCCATTATTTTCAAATCGAAATATTCCGAAAACGGAACATATAGTATCGAGTTTTACCAAGAGTACCTTTTTGGTGTGAGGTGTGATATTGAATGACGTTTGAGTTCACATCAAATTTGGGTTGGAAACTCTAACCTCAAAAAAGTTATGTTCAAAACTAATCGGTACGAACCGTGTAACAAGCGCCCTCTATGAGAGTCAGATATAAAAACGAATGCATGCATGTGTCAGATTCTAAGAAACATCCATACAAAATTTCATCACAATGTTGCCAGTAGTTTCAACATAATCGTAAAAAATGTGTAAACAAAATATTGTTCCAACACCTTGTATCTTGAAAACGGATGGCGTTACGACATTTTTTCACTGAGCACACCCAACTTATTTTGCAATGTTCTACCTACCCTAGCAAAGGGGGTTAGGTTTTTTCGAAACACCCTGTATAAATAAACGAATACGAGAGCAAAGTACCAAAAGTACATCTATACCTAGCTAGTATCGTATACCAATACCAATACCCTATGAACGTATATTAGATCTGATAATTCCAATTATCATATTATTATTCAACATTTCATCCTTCCATACTAGCCAATAATCACTTTAGGTTAACACAAGCCTCAGAATTTGGAATGGAAGACCATTGGAGTTATTTTTTTCATTTTTCGGTCTCACCATCCCACTTCATCTCACTTGAATCTTGGTATTGTCCATTAGATGACTCCAAATGCAGGGACTTCCAACGAAAAATTTGATTCTCCCTTCAGCTAGAAAGCTAATCCTCCACCATTATAGGGATTCCCTTTCGTGCGCTCCAAGTGATAAAAAAAAAAAAAAAAAACCGAAATCGCCGGGACCCTTCGATTTTCATATACTTGGAGGAGTCTTTTCTGGCAGTTAAACGGACTTTGTGTACAATCTATAACTTCGAAATTTCAAATGGAATTACCCTACTTTCAATATATCATTTCAAAGCCCTTTTTATAACGAATTCTTCGGTGGATCGTTTTTGAAAATCAGTTGAGATTTGACCGAGTTATTGAACAAAATCAATACTTGACATTAATGGTCAAATAACTGACATTCGCATTATAATTTTTAACCAGAATTGCGCACTAATTGAAAGCTTTTCATCTAATACACACATACTTATTGAGATCTTGAGGGCTATTGCCCTATGAATTTTTGTTATGCATAGAAAATGAGATAATTCTTTAATAACATGATGGTGCACCCTCTTATTATGCTATTGTTGTGCAGGCAATTTTTAGATGATCATTGCCCAGGTTATTGGATTGGTAAGAGAGGTACCATTCAATGGGCACTAAGATCACCTGATCTAACCCTTTTGGACTTTTTATGGGGTAATTTGAAATCGCGATTGTATGCCACGCAACCTAAAACACTAGACGTGCTACGTAAGATGATTATGGAAGAATGTCGATTAATAACACCAGATGTCTTCAGTAATGTTCAAGAAGAATTTGAAAAAAGTTTGTATCATTGTTTGCAAGTTGAAGGAGAGGTCATTTTGAACTTACATTGAATAAAACTTCAATTTTGAGTCAGTTTTTTCAAATGTAGACTATTCAATTTTTGGTGAATTTAACGACACAACAAAAAAGAGGGATGTGGATATGTAGTGAATGAAAAGCTTTGAATTGATTGGCAGTTTTGGTTATAAATTGGAACCACAATGTCAGTTTGTCAATTATTGTCAAGTATTGATTTTATTCAATAACTCTGTCAAATTTGAAAAGATTTCCAAAAACGATGCACCATACTATTCGCAATGAAAAAGGCTTCGAAATTATATGTGTTGGAAGTAGCGTACACTCAGAGAAATACTTGGTAGTTAATACCAAACGTTTAGTAAAATAGGCGTCAGCCATTACATTCATCAAATGATATACCACAACAAAATTGTATCACAATATACTATAAGTATCATGTACTATTTTGTAGTGGTTATATTTGATATATTATACAATTATTGTGGTATTATTAGATGAATGTAGTGACTGGCGCCTATTTAACTGAACGATTGGTATTTACTACTGACAACTTTTTTCAGTGTAGTTCCATTTTGAATTTCGTAGTTGCGGGGATGAGCACATCAAGTTGTTCCAATTGCGAAAAGTGCTTCCCCCAGGTACAAAAATTGACGGGTCCTGGAGATTTCTGGTAGAGCATTCGGTTAATTATAGGGGGTGTCGAAAGACCCATACTGGTCTAATACAAGTTTTGTGGAAGGAAAGCAAAATTGATCGCATTAGGAATTTGAAGATGAAAATTGAAATAATTCCGTCCGAGATTTCGTTACAGGACTACTTTTGCCGATTTGAATTTCCGAAATTTCATTTTTGTAGAATCGAAAGCATTATTGAAATTTTTTTTTAATTCTCAGATCCAAAAACCCAGCCAAATTTGAATCTCTGGAACCTCTGAAAACTATGGCTTGTCTGAATCTAGAGTCTGCATACGTTTAGACTTGGTATACCTATCAACAAATTGACTAAAAGTCAGAAATTATTATGAATCAAACGCAAAAAATGCTCGATTCTATAACTTGAAGTATTTGAACAATAATACTATAGTTTTGGGAGATCTGAAACTCTCTGAAAGCCCGTCAGTTACCCTTCGAAAATCTTATGCACGCCTTCCCTTGAAAAGAATCCTGGATCCGCCACTGATACTGATAATCCTTCAGGCGGTATTGAACGCCTATTGAAGGACAAGAGAAAAAAGTAATACATTTTAGCTCGAGGTTCTGTTGAACAAAAAACCTTGCACTAAATCTGATATTCTTCCCGTGTATAATACACCATCCTTTTCTGTGACTGAATAAACGAATTTTCAGTATTGAGAAGATAATTACATTATAATAAAATCAGAAAATTATGGATGTGAAATTTGATGTTTTTAACAGGTGTACAACCTGTGTTGCAGGCATCTTTTTGACTTTTGTAGGCATCTTTATTGTTGCTATGGAAACCTTTTGAAGTAATCGAATATGTGTCAATTTAATTCTGTGTTTTGATTTTGAAAAATTGTGATTTTAGGGGTTGTTTATTAATTTACGTAGCCGCGAAGTGGAATGGAGTGGAATAGCTAAACTCCAGGTTGTGTGAGCAAAAATCTAATATTTTTCTCGTGTATAATAAACTATTATTTTCTTGTGACAGCAAAAAGGAATCAATATTGAGAAGATATCAAATTATGTTGAATCAGAAGATTATCGACATGAAAATAACAGGAATGACTCCTGGCATTTTTATCATTCTTTTGAAGTAATCAAATATCTGTCAGTCTATTTTTGTGATTTGATTTCGAAAAATTGCGAATTTAGTGGTTGTTTTGTAATTTACGTCACCGCAAAGTCGAATGGAAGATAAAAAGAGTTGCAGTACGGTGTTATTGGCATATTTTTCGGTAACCATAGCACAACAAAACCTCATCAACAGTGTATATACAAGGTGTTTCAGATTCAAATGTACAAACGATAACTGCAGATAGAGAACACTTTGATGGTTCCAAATCACGCCGCATTGATGTGTCT